AGGAAGGTGGCATAAGAAACTGGTGCTCCCGGAGCACCCAAGATCAGGGAAGTGTTACACGTGCTTTCTCCCCATTTCCTCTAATCTTGCAAAGCACACACCAGCCTGAGTCCTGTGAATTCTCTCCCAGAAGCTGCTGAGAGAGCTTGCCCCATTCCATTATCATCCAAAGAAAGGGGAGAGAATCCATGAGCAGTTAATCCAGGTGACCTCACCATTCTGCCATTGTCATCGCGCTCAGATTAAAGACTTAAGTCTTGTAACTGGGGGCTCACAAAGGCCAAGGACAAATATAATGATGGCTAATTATGAAAGGGATTTGGGCACGGAGCAGGCCTCCTGCCTCCCAGGTGAGGACAGCGGAAGATAGGCTAAGACTCTGTGCTGAGAAACCAGCCCCCTTTTCACTGTGAGTCCTACCCTGGGTGGAGCTGTCAGGTAAATCACAACAATGAAATACTGCTATGAGTCTTCTGCCTCCATTTTTCTCACGGGGTGTGGGGACCCCAGAGGGGACTTGCAGGTTGATTGGCCTTAATCTCAACTTGCTGCCCTCAAGCTGCTGCCCACTCCCAGCGACCCTGTGGGGCAGACTAGACCTGCCCCCGCAAGTCTCCAAGACTGTCAATTTGCAAGAGTAGAAAGCCCTGTCTTTCTCCCGAGGAGTGGCTGGTGGTTTCAAACTGCAGACTTTGCGGTTAGCAGCCCAACACATAAGCACTACACCAGGGCTCCTGTAGGCCTTGCAGACTAGACCTGCCCCCGCAAGTCTCCAAGACTGTCACTGTTTGCAAGAGTAGAAAGCCCTGTCTTTCTCCCGAGGAGTGGCTGGTGGTTTCAAACTGCAGACTTTGCGGTTAGCAGCCCAACGCATAAGCACTACGCCACCAGGGCTCCTGTAGGCCTTAAGAAAACAGCGGAAAGAAGCTCTTGCTTGGGAGAGCCGGGTCTGGTTTGCCCAGCTCTCCGGGCAACTCTGTACTCCCACGTCGGTGACAAAAACACAGGCAGGCGTAGCCCAGAGGTCTGCAGGGAGTCACGTGAATTCTGGGATTCCCAGTGCATCTCCAAGTGATAGTTATACTGCACTACTGTAGTCAGTGTACTATAGCATCCGGGGAAAGTCTGAACGACTAAGGGAATTATGAAAACATGACAGATGCAGGAAGGGAGCGGGGGCTCTTGGAATAGTAGTACCCATAGACTTAATGGACACAGGGTTGTCACCGCTTCTACTTTGTAAAAATCACAAGTCACCTGCCAGGTGCAAGATAATGAAGTCTCACAAGGGGAGGCAGTACCTGTAAGTAAGAAGACTTTGGACCGGAGTCAGAAAGCCCCTCTCTAGTCTTGACTCGGTGGCCACAGGACCATGTGGCTTGGTGCTTGCTGGGTGTCGCCCCACGTTGAATGGCGTGGAGTGGCACAAAGAGCATGGGCCCCGGGATAAACTGGCCTGGGCCCCTGGGCTTGCTGTGCCCCTTTGGGCACAGTAGATAAGTGGAGTCACTCTCCTCTGAGCCTCCGTCTCCAGTCGGGGAAACAGGACTGAATTGTAGTCCCTGCTCCACAGATGAGGCCTTCAGCCAGTGTATGCACAGTGACTAGCTTGGACTCAGCTGATATTTGTTAGTTCAGTCACTAATCAACAGGCAGCTTGATTAGCCATAAGAAAATAAAGATAAATCTGTTTTCATAACCACTTTTATTTCCAAATGGTAAGCCTTGGTCTTTGGGTGGGGGCATGCACAGAACAGTCCTGGCTCTCAGTCAGAGGAAGGGAAGCCCGGTGCTGGCACTCCCCCTCTACTGCCTGTAGCCGTGGTGGGGACCCACTCCAGGTGTTTGTGCCTCCTCAGTGGGGTTATGGCTGAGAGATGAGGCTGAGCTAGCCCAGACTCTGCCTGGCCCATGACAGCAGGGTCTCTTCTGATGAGTCCGACAACTGTCCTTCAGCATGGCTGTCCTCCCTGCCGTTGAGAATTGCCTCCTCTGGCCACTCCGAATGACAAGCTGCCTTTCAGTATTTTTCTCAGAGGTGATGACAAGTGTGCTTCTATTTTCACAACAATTTTTTTTTAATTCAAAAGTGCTACCATTTTTCCGTTTCAGATTTAAGCACAGCCTTCTCAGGTGGGGGGGGGTAAGAAAAAGGCAGGAGCCACTGCTCTGTCTGTAGACCAGGGTCCTCAGAGACACCAAGATGCACAAGGATGTACATCTAGGAGTCCAGAAAACATGGTGCCCGTTTCTCCTGTCTGCCTCCCCCTCTCACCGCCCCACCCCAAGCTCTTCCTGCTGCTTGCCGGCTGATCAGGCTCGGAAGCTCGATTCCACAGCCCCCTCAGTAAGGTCCTCCTGTGTGGAAAGCTCCTTCCGTTCCATCTTCTTTGTGAGGTATGGGCAGACGTCAGAAGTCGCTACTAATGAGCGGCAGCCTTGGGAAGTCACAGCCCGTATTAAATGGGGGCCGTGCGTGATAGGCCTCTACAGATGCGGCTCCCTCCAAAGTCGCCATTAATGGACCTCTGTGGATTCCGCACGGAGCAGCTTCCAAAGATAAATTGACATGGGCCTTTTTTGGCTGTTCACAGGCAGTGAAATACAGATTGTCGGTGAATCGAGCATAGCCGGTTTGCGGCAGATCTTACAAGGGTGTATTTGTGAGAAAGAAAGGGAAGGGAGGGGTGAGGGGAGAGCAGGGCAGGCTTGAGGCTGTTCCCCCAGGGAGGACTCTGTGCTCACAGCACATCCTGGTGGCTCGACCCAGGCAGAAACCAGGGTGTCCAACCTCACAAACGTTTACTGAGCACACACACTCAACAACAGGGCGCACTTACTAAGTGTAAAGTGTATCTTTAATGTTTTATACTCATGAGTGATTGTGGCTAGTTGCTGACCCCTGGCAACCCCTTGTGGGCATAGTGCAACTGCACAGCATGGGAGACCTAAGGCTGTGTGACCTTTCTGAAGGTCACCAGGTCTCCCGAGGTACCTCCGGGTGGGTTCAAACCACCCACCGCTTCAGCTGGCAGTGGAGCACATAACCATTTGCACATCCCGGGGCTCCCTGCTTATGGTCGTCATCTCCTTCAATCCTCAGAGCAACCCTGTGGAGGCTGAAGATCTCCATTTGCCAAATGAGGGAAATAGGAGGTTCAGAAAGAGGTGAAGTGGGTTACCAAAGCCCCCTACCTGGTTGGGTGTTTGGAACCAGACAAAAGACTCTAAAAGCTATGCTTTTAACCGCTAGTCAGAAGGCAATGGCAGGAGCCCTGGTGGTGCAGTAGTTATGTGTTGGACTGTGACCACAAGGTCAGCAGTTCAAAACCACCAGCCTCTCTGAGGGAGAAAGATGAGGCTTTTTTGCCTCTGTAAAGAGTTCCAGTCTGAGAAAACTCACAGGGACAGTTCTGCCCTGTCTTTGGGCCGCTCCTGATGGCATGGAGTCAAAGGCAGTAAGTTGGTTGGTTCCTCTAAAGGCATGGTCATGGTCAGCACTGAGCTTGAAAAGCGGGTGCGGTAGAGAAAGGGAAGACAAGAGATACACCAGGCTGTGCTCAGCACATAAACCAAGTGACAACTACCACTCACCCAACACTTGCTGCGTGCCAGGTAGTGCTCTGGCTTCTCCATATTCGTCATGTGACCTAAGCCTCATGCCCAGCCCTGCCATCGAGTCTATTCCAGCGCACAGCAACACTGTGGGCAGAGTCAAACTGCCCTGTGAGTTTCCGAGTCTAAATCTTCAGAGGCAAGCTGCCTCCCTCAGAGCAGTTGGTGAGTTCGAACCGCTGACCCCGCAGACAGCAGCCCATTGTGTAGCTCACTGTGCCGCCAGTGCTTCTTGATCCCCAGAAGGGAAGGATGCAGTTATTACCCCCATGGACAGATGAAGAACCAAGGCACGAGAGGTTAAGTGTCTGTCCCAAAATCTTGCTGCCAGGCAGTGGCTGAGCTGACATCTGACTCCAGGCAGCCTGACCACAAAGCCCACGTGCTTCCTCTCTGTGATAGAGCCTCTGGGAGTGAGCAGCGAGCTCTTTGAGAGGGGATTCATTACGAGTGGTGAGCATGACATCGCTCGCTGCAAGAGGCCTCTCAGGAGGCTGAGGGGTGTATGGGGTGCAGGGCATTCCTTCTGACCAGAGAACGGGGCACTGCTGGGAAGAGGCGAGCCTTGAAGGATGGACTCAGGCTAATCGTTATTGAAGGGTGGGACATCTGAGGAAAGGAAAATAGAAGGCAAACTTGGAGATCTTTTCATTTTTATTTAAAAAAAAAATATATATATATATATCTTTTTATAGCCATTTGCTTTTTTTCCTCCTCCAGAAGTTTATTTTTGCTAAAGATCCAAATTCGGATGTCTTCACCAATTTATCACTCAAAATCAGATATATTTTTCAGTCATTGTTATACGCACACCTGAAGGGGCTTTGAAAGGTTCATGGAAAACAGAAGGAAAAGATACTGAGATTTTCCCCACAAGCGTTCTGAAGGCCCTTCGTGTGCACACACGAACGTGTGCACGCACTCACATACGTCTGATGGTTGTGTGCCAGCAAGTGGACTCCAGCTCCTGGCTGGTGACCCCACACGACAGAGCAGAACAGCCCAGTGGGCTTCCCACGGGCCATCTTGACGGCAGTCAGTCGCAGGGCCTTTTCTCTGGCAGGGTGCTTCGGCCGATTCGAACCACCAGCTTCTCTGTCAGTGCGGAGCACTTAGCAATGGGCCACCAGGGCGCCTTTAAATGCATCTCGACGTCTGCTGTGATGCATCTGGTTAGATCGCACACACGGGGCATTCTGTCAGCAGCTTGGGTGTTGGGCTTCTTCTTCGCCTTGTGAAAACATGGCTTCCTTCTGTATCAAGGGCCTTAAAGGGTCATTCCCATGCTCTCGTAATCCTACTTTTAAGAACATCTTGCCGGAAAAAATCCACAATGAGGACATTGATTAGTGTGTGAAAACGTAGTCTGATGGAGCTGTAATTTATGTCTCACCAAATCCATTGTTTTTCAATGTGCGATCTAGTGATGCGTAGTATATTTACAAGGACAATCACTGTCGAATTCCAGAACCTTTCCATCACCTCAAAGAAACCACAGACCTGCTAGCCGTCGCCACCCCCCACCCTGACTGATCTACTTCATGTCTCTATGGATTAGCTATTCTCGATATTTTATATAGATGTAGCCGTGCAATATGTGGGCTTTGCATCTAGGCTTTTTTCACTTGGAGTACTGTTTAAAATCTATTGGTTTGCAATGTTACTTATAACTACGGAAAGAGGTAACAATTTGACTATCCATTTTGGTGCTTTGCTTGATACATTATAGTGTTTCCATAGAGTGTACTACAGTACGGCCGGCCGTTAAGAAGCATACCCTAGGCCAGGGTTGGCTCTGGAGTAAAACTGAACCTTGTTAGGGGATATTATTCAAATAATGATTATTTCATTTGGAAAATATATACTTATGGCTCTCAAACCATTTTAAAATTGCTGTGAGGGGCAGGATTGGCTCTTCCATCTCAAAAGTCTTACAACCCCTGGTCTGGGCTCCTGAGCCTATTTCAACCCCCAGAGACCCTGTAAGACAAAGTAAAAGTGTTCCTGAAAAAGGTCCCCAAGATTGTAAATCTTTTCTGGAGCAGACAGCCTCATCTTTCTCCAGTGGAGTGGCTGGTGGGTTTGAACCATCAATCTTGTATCCAAATACTTATCCCATAGTGCCATCTTATGGGGAAAAAAACCCCAAAACAGTTAATGGCATGGCATAAGACCCTGATCTGTAAGAAAAACTCTCTAAGCAATTCTTTTTAGCTACTTATAAATGTTTTAGGAAATATTCTAAAATACAGGCATATACCTAAATATTAGTAATGATTTTCTTCTTTCTTTGAGCTTGGGGATTATGGATAGTCTTTTCTTCCCCAGATTTTTTTTAGTTTTCCTTTTTTCCCCATTCTTCTATAGTCAAAAGAAACACATCTCTCTTTATTTGATCCTTCTGCCTTTGCCAGACACACACAGCCCCTCCCCTCCACCCCTCTGAACAGAATCTGCCTCTCCTCTCCCCTTCAGACCAAGTGCGGAACAGCTACTACATCGGGGCCGATGGCTCCCTCCGGCTGCTGCTGGCCAATGGCATGGAGGTGGCCCTGCAGACGGAGCCCCACCTGCTGGCCGGCACCGTCAACCCCACCGTGGGCAAGCGGAACGTCACACTGCCCATCGACAACGGCCTCAACCTGGTGGAGTGGCGACAGCGCAAGGAGCAGGCTCGAGGCCAGGTCACCGTCTTCGGGCGCAGGCTGCGGGTAAGCCAGGCCCTGCCAAGCTGGAGAAGTAGCTTCTGTCCCTGAGAGGGCCCTTGAGTGATCAGAGGGAGAAGCTTCCAGGGACCTCCGGCTTCCTCACCTGTGGAAGGGAGAAAGCCGGTCCGGGGCCCCAATGTAACGCAAGTTTCTTGTCCATCCTTACAGTCTTCACGTGCACAAAGACGCCTGGCCGTATTGTGAGTTCAGAGCTGGGCTTCCAGCTGTGTAGCATTCCCTCCGTTTCATTATCCACAAAATGGGGGGGGGGGGGCATACCGATTTTACTACGCTCCACCCATTGGGAATACTTTGCAAAGTGCCTCATTCAGAACCTGGCACATAGCACGTGATTAGTAATAGCTGTTACTATTGTTGCTGGTGTTGTAGTCGATGTTGTTAACTGTTGCTAATACATGCCATCTTTGGAGCCTAAGCCACATTTTCCACTCTGATCAGAAAGAATTTTCCTTCAAAATTGAGCAAAACCACCACCATCCTAGCTGTCCCTGCCAGGGGGTTGGCAGCTGTGGTCTGGCGTGTCAGAGGGCCCTGAGCCAGCCTCTCTCTGCCTCGCATCCCATCTCCCTGGAGTGGGACCTCTGCCTGCCCTCAGGCCTTGACGACCCAGTGTATTTTGATGGGGAGAGTGAACACTAATGAACTAGCCCCGGTTTCCAGCACACCGGGGGCCCCGTAGATAGCAAGTATGTATGTGCTAAGCTGACATGGACCACACACACCTGAGCCAGACCTTCCTAACGTCCCCAAGTCACAGATACCTGGGACCCTGTCCATCAGCCCTTTCCCCATCATCAAAGAAAAGTCCACCTAAGCCCCTATTTAAAATGTGCACTGAGCAAGATCTAGAGGGGGCAAGGGATGGGTCCCAGAGTCGCACAGCTGGGTGGTGGTAAGAGCTAGGCAGTAGGCACTCTGCCTTTGTTCGAGGCCCTCACCAGACCCTAGCTCTCCGCTGTACCCTCAGCCGTATTCCATCGAGAACCCTAGTCCTTGTCTAGCGTGGGAACGGCCTCCGCTAGTTGCCTGTTTGGATCTCAGAGAGCCCTTCCTGCCCATCGCCCGCCTCTAGCACCCCTTCCCGGGCCTTGATTGCAGGCGGGCCACCTGTGTACCCTGAGCCTCGGGCTCCTTTGCAGAAACCAGATCATATAATCAAAGCGCCTAGCCCCATGCTGGAAGACCCCAGGTGTTCAGTTAACAGCAGTGATTAGTAATATCGGGATCTCCTCTCTGCTGCAAGCACCCAAGGTTTCCCAGGCTCTAATGGGGCCCCTCCCCCGGCCGCAGATTGATGATGCTCCAGTCGGGCAGCCGCATCTCCGCTTCCTCCCGAAATTAATGGCCACCCACAGTGGCAGCATGTGGAATGAGAATGTTAGCCGGGTGCGCCTCCCATAATGGAGCTCATTTTTTATACAGCTGGGAACTTTTTAATAAAGAAAGATGTAAAATAATCTCGTTTGCCACCACTGCCGGGCCCAGGAAGCATTAGGTGGTTCCCCAGCGAGCTGCTTAATTCAATTTTATTAATTTTTGCCACCAAGGTGTAGGCGCCCCCCCCCTCCCTAGGGGTCTTCTGGAGGTAGTGAGGGGGACTGCTGGCTGGGTATCACCAGCCTGGGGTCAGGGACTGAAGGGGACCTTCCAGATAGGTTCAGTGAAAGGCCCCATCATCGGCAATGTGGTCCGTTTCTCCCTTTCCCTCCACTGCAGAGCGCGCAGCTCCAGCCTCCAACGCCTCTGATTCTTCACGGGACGCATCTGCCCCACTGCTGTTGCTTCTGCGCTTGTGTTGGATTGCCCCAGGAAAGCAACCTTCTGATAGTCAGGCAATCTGCAGTGGAAGCTGTGGCGGCGTCTTCCTTATAAATCCTCATCTTCAGGGCCGTAGAATTTGGACAGGGAGTGTGTCTCCTTCCACTGAGAAAGGCCCGTGATCATGTGCTGCCCCTTAATGGAAATTGTCGCAGCCATGTACCCGGTACCTTCTCTGTGCCCAGCCGTCCACGGGCTCACCTGCACGTGGTTCTCCACGCCTCGCAGCCACCCTGTAGCTTGCTGTGTCTCTACAGAGAGAGCCGTGCTCACGCCGCGTTGGTTCCAAAATAGAGGCTAGGCGCTTGGCCTTAATTCCTAGACCAGGGTTCCATTTCTTTTCTTTTTTCAACCACACAGGGCTCTGGAAAGGGCTTTTCATTCAGCCCAGGTGTGGGGTTTTTCAGCAGGGGAGCTAAAGTGTCTGCCCATCTCTTGGGTGTTCCCTGTCCCCGGTCAAACTTAACCAGGGACGAAGGGAAGGGAAGAAAAGGCGCCCACATGGCCCGTAAGACCAAGAACCAACAAGAGGGAGCCAGCATCTCCCTTTCATAGTACCGGCCAGGCGTCCAGAGTCCTTTGCCAGAACCTGAGAGGTAGATCCTAAGGCAGAAGCAGACCCTAGGAGTATGTTTTTTTATTAAAATGTTTTTAATCTAACTTATTGCTCCCCCTATGGGCATCCTACATTTCTGCCTCTGAAAAGAAATTGAATTGCATGTTGACCTAGCAGAGCGGGTGGGCAAAATATGAGGGATGCTTGATCCCGGAGGCAGGGCCAAAATATCCCAAAGTGAGGGCCAGGTCAACCCTCTGCCAGAGAAGTGCCTCACATGCAAGCAACACTGTGCCCGGGCCGCCATGGCCAGGGGCTCAGAATAAGCTCTTTGCACTAGGACTAGCAGAGAGGACCAAGAAGCCGTAACTGCGTTAGCAGGAGAGATCCCACAGGGACATGGACGGGAAGCCCAGAGCTCTGGGAAAGGGTGGCGAGCATCAAATCTAGACTTATCCCCTCAGCTGTCTCAGGATCTGAGGCAAGGCCGCTCACCGCCCCGCACTCCCTACCCCTCCCCCCACCCCACCCCCACCCCCACCCCTGCACTAGGCTTCCTCAGGCCTAGATGCGATCTCAGAAGTTAATCACCAGGTCGATGTTTATGTTTTGAGTCCTCTGGACCACTCTTTTCAGGAGTCAGCCAAGGAAGGTCTGTCTTTGCCTGAGTGCCCTCCTTTTAAAAAGCCCGCACTAGAGAGTGAGGCGGACCACCTGGGCATCGGCCCATGGGTGCTCGGCACCCACCTTGACTTCATCCTCATGACAACCCTACCCAGTAGGCATCCCTATCCCCCTGTGACAGACAAGGAAACAACATCAGAGTGCTGCCAAGTGACCGAGCCGTGCAGGCTCCCCGAACCCCGAGCTTTTCGGGACCATTCAGAGCCAGCTGAAGCATCAACCTCAGTTTCTCATGCAGCGGATTTGTTTTCTCTGTTCTTCCTCCAGGTTCACAACCGAAACCTCCTGTCCCTGGACTTTGACCGTGTGACCCGCACAGAGAAGATCTACGATGACCACCGCAAGTTCACCCTGCGGATCCTGTATGACCAGGCAGGGCGGCCCAGCCTGTGGTCCCCCAGCAGCAGGCTCAATGGCGTCAATGTGACCTACTCCCCGGGGGGTCACATTGCTGGCATCCAGAGGGGCATCATGTCAGAGAGGATGGAGTATGACCAGGCGGGTCGGATCACGTCCCGGATCTTTGCCGATGGGAAGACGTGGAGCTACACATACTTAGGAAAGGTAGGTGTCTGTCTCCCTGGCTCTCTGGCTGCAGCCGGTCCTATGCCAGTCACTGTGACTCAGCCCACGGCCAGGCCCAGCCCGCTGATCTCAGTGAGATGGTTCTAACTGGTGCTGCGAAGGGGAATAGAGCCATCTTGAAGAGCCTGGGGCTCTGGTGGGGGCAGGAAGCACATGAGTGGCTCACGGTGACCGCATGGTGGACGGTGTCTTGCAGTGGCAGGATATGAAAATGCCCCGTAGACTGGGGCTGGTATCAGACCTGAATGCTGACTGGACCTACTGACCAAGACGTGGGGTGAGGAACCAGGAGCGTTCTCCCAGGTTTCGAGCACATGGGAGACCCATGGCAGAGAGCAAGGCAGATGCCTAAGCATCAGTGTTGAGGCTGAAGGCAGAATCGTGAGCTCTGAGTGGTGGGCTGCAGGTAGGGAGACCTTAGTAAATCCCTCATGGATCGGGTCAGGATTGATTTCAATCCAATGGCTAGGTAGCAGAAAGGGTCTGAAATCCAGAGCTGGATAAAATGGTAGCTCTGCTGCCCCTTGCCAGATGCTGCATGCCTCACTTCGGGGCCTGGCTCCATCCTTTGTTTGTGCTCCATGGCCCCTGCCGGGGCTCAGTCTGCCTGCCCTGCTGTACGCTGGGTAAGCGTCCCTGAGACTGATGTTCTCTGGTCGAGAGCCGGGGTGTATGTCATCCAGCACACTAAGACCCAGGCCCAGAGCGGGAAGAACGTTCCCAAGGCCACACACTAAGCTCATTTCGGAACCCAGGTTTTCCCATGGCTGTCACAGCCAGCCCCACCTCTGGGAGGACATGTGACCTGTTACTAGGTAAACAATTGTTCAAAGCCTTCAATGCCCTTCTCAGAGCATGGCCTTTATCCTAGAGGCCACAGGGAGTCAACAGAGGTTGTTTAGCTGGCACTAGACATTGTCAGTGGGAAGATGGATCTGAGAGAGCAGGCGGGAGGCTGTCACAAACACCCCAGGCCACCCACCCCTTTCTCACCCAGCGTCACACAGTGGGGTGGACAGAGCTGCTCACAGTAGAAATCAAATGGCCCAAGTGACCTGGGCCCTGCCAAGGCCAAAGGTGGAGAGAAATCCCCACCTGAACACATCCAGAACCCATCTGCAGTGTCCTGTGTGGCACACCGGTTGGAGAGAAAGCGCTGGCTTGGGCTGAATGTACGAGAACCACCAGTGTCTTTGGACTTGGATTCGTGTCCGTGAAGTCTCCAGTGCATAGACGGTGCTGACTTCATTACTGTTCTCTAGTCTACCTCTGGTGGGCTCTGATATCCGCCGCAATGGCCGCCCAGAGACTCACAGACAAAATTCATGAGTCAAGGGTTTATTAAGTCAACAAGTTGTAATGTCAGTGAGAGATGCTCAGGGGAGTTGTTTACTGGGATGTGCTGTAAAGGTCTGCTAACAAGTGCCCCAAAGGACATTCCACTCTTCAGGAGGCCTTGACCCCAAGGCACTTGCTGAAGTTCTGTGGGTCCATTAAGTGCCCAGAGGCACCCAACTCCACTAGCCAGCCTCTTGTGCAAAAACACTCAGCCTTCTTTGCTCCGTGGGTTGGGAAGCCCAGCAACCTGTCCCCTGCTCTGGCTCCTGGTTCTGCTTCTCTGATGGTGTAGCCGCCCTCTGCACCCGGGACGTTCACCGTACAGGGATCTCGAGTCCAGAGGACGCACCCCACTCCTGGTGGCTGTTGGTCATGAGATCTCTGCTCGTGTTGCTTCATACACGGCAGGATGCCACTCCAGGTGGAACCCGTCAGGGTCTTCCCCAGCCCTCTTACCAGACCCATGCAGGGAAAGGTCGTGTGGTGGGAGTTAGAGACTTGGGTGAGAAGAGCCACGTGACACCCCGTCCTGATCTCTGCTTACCTTCCCCTGCAGTCCATGGTGCTGCTGCTCCACAGCCAGAGGCAGTACATCTTCGAGTTCGACAAGAACGATCGCCTCTCCTCTGTGACGATGCCCAACGTGGCCCGGCAGACGCTAGAGACCCTTCGCTCGGTGGGCTACTACAGGAACATCTACCAGCCCCCCGAGGGCAATGCCTCGGTCATCCAGGATTTCACAGAGGACGGGCACCTCCTCCACACTTTCCACTTGGGCACCGGGCGCCGCGTGATCTATAAGTACGGCAAACTGTCAAAGCTGGCGGAGGTGCTGTACGACACCACCAAGGTGAGCTTCACGTACGACGAGACGGCGGGCATGCTGAAGACCATCAACCTGCAGAACGAGGGCTTCACCTGCACCATCCGCTACCGGCAGATCGGGCCCCTGATCGACCGGCAGATCTTCCGCTTCACCGAGGAAGGCATGGTCAATGCCCGGTTTGACTACAACTACGACAACAGCTTCCGGGTGACCAGCATGCAGGCCGTCATCAACGAGACCCCGCTGCCCATCGACCTCTACCGCTACGACGACGTGTCGGGCAAGACGGAGCAGTTTGGGAAGTTTGGCGTCATCTACTACGACATTAACCAGATCATCACGACGGCCGTCATGACCCACACCAAGCACTTCGACGCTTACGGTCGGATGAAGGAGGTGCAGTACGAGATCTTCCGCTCCCTGATGTACTGGATGACCGTCCAGTATGACAACATGGGGCGGGTGGTGAAGAAGGAGCTGAAGGTGGGGCCCTACGCCAACACCACCCGCTATGCCTACGAGTACGATGCTGACGGGCAGCTGCAGACGGTGTCCATCAACGACAAGCCGCTCTGGCGGTACAGCTACGACCTCAACGGGAACCTGCACCTGCTGAGCCCTGGCAACAGTGCCCGGCTCACCCCGCTGCGGTACGACCTCCGGGACCGCATCACCAGGCTGGGCGACGTGCAGTACAAGATGGATGAGGACGGCTTCCTGAGGCAGCGGGGGGCGGACGTCTTTGAGTATAACTCGGCCGGCCTGCTCGTCAAGGCCTACAACCGGGCCGGGGGCTGGAGCGTCCGGTACCGCTATGATGGCTTGGGGCGGCGGGTGTCGAGCAAGAGCAGCCAGGGCCACCACCTGCAGTTCTTCTACGCAGACCTCACCAACCCCACCAAGGTCACCCACCTGTACAACCACTCCAGCTCCGAGATCACATCGCTCTACTACGACCTGCAGGGACACCTGTTTGCCATGGAGCTAAGCAGCGGCGACGAGTTCTACATCGCCTGTGACAACATCGGGACCCCCCTTGCGGTCTTCAGCGGAACGGGCTTGATGATCAAGCAGATCTTGTACACGGCCTATGGGGAGATCTACATGGACACCAACCCCAACTTCCAGATCATCATTGGCTACCACGGGGGCCTCTATGACCCCCTTACCAAGCTCATCCACATGGGCCGACGGGACTACGATGTCCTGGCTGGCCGCTGGACCAGCCCAGACCACGAGTTGTGGAAGCACCTGAGTAGCAGCAACATCATGCCTTTTAATCTCTATATGTTTAAGAACAACAACCCCATCAGCAACTCCCAGGACATCAAGTGCTTCATGACAGGTGAGTAGCGGGATGCATTCAGCGGGCAGAACATTTTAGCTTATAAAAGGCCCAAGGGTAGTCCAAAGAGAACTGTTGAATCTATGTTTCCTGACCACAGGCTGCCCCTTTTCCTAGCATGAAGTACCACCCCCACCCCCAACCAGTGTCTTGGGTGTTTCTGACCAAGAGACCGGCTGGCTATGAGGCCCTGGTGAGACAAGATTAAAAAGGAAAATCACTGCGTCCTATCGGCCGTGCTTCGCAGCAACCCTGAAGGACAGGGTAGAACTGCCCCTTTGGGTCTCCGAGGCCTCGGATTTTTAGGGGGGTAGACAGCCTTATCTTTCTCCTGTGAAGGCACAGGCGGGTTCAAACTACTGACTTTGTGGTTAGTTAGGCTACTACGCCACCAGGGCTCTTTCTAGATGGGATAAGAATCACTAGAAAGTACAGTCAGTTCTCTGATTTGAGATGATATGGTGGGAAACCCAGAGACTTTGGACCAAGCGCTGGATCCTGCATGTCTACGCTAGGAGATGTTACCAAAGTGATTGGCAGCCATGAATTCCTGACTTGTTCATGGGAATTAGTCTAACTACCTTGACTATGGCAAATTAAGTATGCATATTGGAAACCTTAGCACAACCGGTGTAAAAAGTAAAACAGATGGAATGACCTACCCACGACTAGAGAGACATCAGAATATTAAGAAAAAACTCAATCCGAAAACCAAACCCAACCCACTGCCGTCAAGTCAATTCTGAGTCAGGGGAACCCTGTAAGACTTCGTCCAGCTGCCCCTTTGGGGTTTCAAGGCTCTAAGTGGGCAGTAATCAGATGCATCCCCACTTACAAACCCTGCACTCGCCTCTTTTGTCCTGGGACACGGTGCTCTGGCTGTAATTAACGGCAGCGTCACTCATTCAACAAGTGCATCTTCCGGGTCAAGCTGGGGCGAGCACGAGGATCTCTGCCGGGGAAAGAGGAGGTGGACATGTGGTGCCCAGTGGGAGGGAATGCTGGCTCTACCCAGAGATTTCCAGGAAGGCTTCCTCAAGCAGCTGGCCGTCCAGGTGGGCTTATGAGGGACTCTTTTTGCAAAACAATGTGGAAAAGGGATCCCATGGTGGGCCATGCCAACTTCCATTGAGTCACTTCTGGTATCTAGCAACCCTCTAGAGCAGCGGTTCTCAACCTGTGGGTGGAGACCCCTTTGGGGTCAAAGGACCCTTTCACAAGGGTCGCCTGATTCATAACAGTAGCAAAATGACAGTGATGTAGTAGCAACGAAAATAATTTTGTGGGGGGCGGGTGTCACCACAGCATGAGGAAGGTTGAGAACCACTGCTCTAAAGGGTTTCTGAGGCTTATACACCCTTATGGGAGCTGACAGCTTCATCATTCTCCCACAGGGCAACTGGTGGGCCTGAACTGCTGACCCTATGGTTACCTGCCCCACAATTAACATGACCAGGAATGAGATGGCAGTAATGTAAAATCAGTGCCCCTAGGGACGTGCCCTCTGGGTTGGGCTCTGCCCCTGGTGGGAGCCTGGTGCTGCTCAGCAGCCAGAGGAGGAGCTGTCTTCCGGGGAAACTCCGAGTGAGCGGTGGAGAGCAGGAGTCCGACCGTGGAGAAGAAGGGAACGAGGTGTCAGGCGAGGGGGATAAACAGAGATTGGCGGGCTGTTGATAAACATGAGTGTCCTCGCAATCTTTCTCTGCACTCACCACGCTCAACTTCACGATGGAGGCGACATTCCCAAGACATCTGTCTGGACCGAGCACCCCCTGCGCTTATCCTGCATTGGGTTTCCTGTTAGCTGTCTGTAGCTGAAAAAAACTGAAACAGTACCATGGAAAATGTGTTTTTCTATCAGGGAAAAAGGAAAGTTGTTACAGCTTGCAAAACACGTAGTCCTCCTTCCCCCCTTTTTTCTATACACCACCATATACTTATGGCTCCCTTCCAAAATGGAGCTAACGAGCTGCTTTGCTCTGACAGTGTGCTCAGCACTTGGCAGCTATGGTCTGCTTGAAATGCCACCATGATCCTGTGATGTCACTGGCATTTCCCCCATTCTGCAGATGAAAACATTGAGGTTCTAAATGATAATTTGCCCAGAGTCTCACCATTTTAGTCCACGGAGCTTAGAGTCTAACCCAGGGCTCTCTGACTCTAGAATGCGGTTTACTACATACCAGTGGTAGTGTAGTGGATTACGATTGGGCTGCTAACCGCAAGGTTAGCAGTTCGAAACCACCAGCTGTTCGGCAGGAGAAAGATAAGGCATTCCACTCCCATAAAGAGTTCTGGTCTCGGAAACCCCCAGGTGCAGTTCTACACTGCCCTGTGGCGTCGCTAGAGGTCAGCATGGACAGCATGGCAGTGAGGGTCTCCAAAGCCAGAGTTCTAGCAAAGCAACCACCCAAGAGCACTTGACATTTCAAGTCAGTTTCCACTTTCCTCTTCAGTTAAATATCAGTTGATTCCGACTCTGTACCAGGTCTGCACGGAGGATCTAGGGGGGCGTGGGGCTTGGTGGTCACCTTTGCAGAGCTCATGGTCTAAGACAGCATTTCTGAAATGTCTAGGTCGCAGCCTACCGTAAGACAATTTTTTTAATTACTGCACTAAAACATGGAAACAAAAGTTTTGCAAAACGGTACCAAAATAAGATTAAACTCGTATATTTTCTATTATAGTCAAACCTATGCCATTTCAAAGTAAGTGCTGGTTACAACCCGGAGGACTGATTTTATTAGGTAGTGGGGCAAATCCAACCGTTCGAAAACCCTGGTGTGCAAAAGAAGACTGCATATACACAATTCCACTTTCGGGGAAATTCAGAAAAAATTGGTCTCTCTGTACTAAGAAACCAAAATACAGCTGAATTTCCCTTACCCTTAGCCTTTGCACTTCCAACCGGGCTACCCACACCCCTGCACTTGGCTGCTCTTCACCTCCAGCAACAACAGAAACAAAGTATCTTTTTCCCAAAAAAAAAATTCTGTCAAAGTTCCTGAGATCTTCTCTGGTTGGGTCGCCTTGGGCCCCATGACAGTGCCTGAGCTAGCCACTCTGGCAGAGGAGATCAACACATGGTAGGCTGTCCCTCTTAGTCGAGGGGCAGAGAAACAGAGGAAGGCCTCAAGGAGATGGATGGACACAGTGGCCTAGAAGATGGCAGAGGACAGAGCAGGGTCTCATCCTGTGGCACACAGGGCCCCTAAGCTTTGGGCACATAGGAACCCACTTGATATCATCTGACAGCAACACTAGGCTTGCCCTGGGTCACATGATTTCCTGAACCTTGGGTGGAGTCAGCTTTCCTAAAATCACAAGTAGAAAGAAAGGGAAGGTAGAATGGACAATGAGGAGGCAACTCACACACCCCCAAAAAAAATGCTCACCATAGACATTCCAAAGGTCTGAAATGAATAGTTAGAGGAATGTGATGGTTTGTTTTTTAATTTGAGAGAAACACCTACCTCTGATATCTCAAGAAGTGCCCCTGAGTGATGAAACAGATGGGTAAGCACGTGGGTATAGATGGAAAGGTTGGCAGTTCAAACCCACCTACCAGCTCCTAAGAAGAAAGGTTGGTGTGGCTTTGGAAGCATCCAAGGGCACGAAGCCCTGTGCTCGCCTCTGACGGACACACGGAGGGTCGCCGCCCTAGGCCGGAGTTGACTCTGGTTCACTTTGGTTTTCTGGATGTCAGAACAAGGGTGGTCAGATCGCCACCTCTTCAGAAAAGCACTGCAGAGAAAGGAATGAATAATAAATGCTCAGGATTTTCCTCAAGGCGTAATGGGAAAATTCCCCACCTCCCATCCCTTGTAATTAAGACCCAGCCCTCTTTTCAGCCCCTTAATTTCCTGGGAATATGCCGTGTTCCTGATGGAAGTTTTCCTTTTCAACTGACAGATCCCCATGCAAGTCCTCAGGCTAAAGGGCTTTGTTGGGTTTTTCCTTTTCTTTCTTTTTCTTTCCCTCTGCTTTGCTTGTTTTAATTTTCCAAAGAGCCATCTACCAAGATTCCTGGAATCAGAGTCCTAGAAACTTGGTGGTGAGAACTACTCAAGATATGCTGGTCCAAGCCCCTCCTGGCACCAAAGAGAAAAGTGAGGTCCTGGGACAAGCTGCTCCCTCTCCCCCAAATGGCAGATCCTGCAGTTATTATCTGTCCTCACGGTGTGGCAAGATAGGCATTCTGTCCTCAAAGAGGCTAAGAAATGGTCCATGTTCAAAGACCTGAGCAAAGAGAACTTGACCTTGTTTTGTCTTGCCCTGGCTACCACAGCCTGTCCCATTCAATGGTTTTGCCTGGTCCGGCTGGAGGTGGGTTTAAACTTTGTTTCCAAACGTCCTTTTCTGACCACCACTGTATGGGTCCTTTGAGTTTCATACCCAGGAGAGAAGGATATCAAAAAACAGAAGGCAAGCACAGGTTCTTGAATCTGAGGGCACCATGGGATCGATACAATGGAGACAGGGACACAGATGTTGACCCCACAGGTGGCTCCCACCACTGGGTGGCGGTTAATCTTCAAGAAAACTTTCTCAACCGGTCCGGTCGAATACTTTGTCCTCCTTGAGTTTTCTTTCTTTCTTGAATCAAAGTACTCATGCTCCTGTTTCAGCTCCCCGACAGAGCCCCGTGCTCAAGGTGAAGGTCTGTGTGTGACTCAGGTTTCTCTCTGCCACGTTGAGACAGTCCTGAGCACAACAGGCAGTCCGTGACAGGGGTGCAAGTAACTGGGTGCACGCCACAACCCCTTTTCTTTTCCTTGTGTTCTGGCTTCCTGGATCCCTTCTTCCCAGAGCTGAATGCTGCTTCTTGAAATGGCTAAGTCCTACCTCTATCTAAACCTAATATTCTCTTATCCTTTCTAATCCCCCCCCCAAAGTTAAGAAATTAGTAAATCCCATGCCTGAGGCTAGCTCCTCACACGTAATGTTCAGTCTGGGAAATGAGGCACAGAGAGGTTAAGTGACCTGCAGGAACTGTCAGCAAATAAAAGGCAGGATCCGGGTGGCGATCTGTGACCTTGGGTTCAGGCCACCTCCATACCCAGGGGCATTGTAGTCCAAGGCCATCAAAGCTCGAAGGGAGGGTGAGGAGAGGACCGAGAGCTGTTTGTTAAATGAAGTCAGTCATTGAGACTTCTGGGGGTCGGGTTGGCCTTCGGGTTTCCTGTGGTTGTTGGGTGTGAGTGGGGGAGATTTTCACTCATCCACCGCTGCCCCGCAGTCTAAGGCTGGAGGTCCGTGGAGGGCTGACAAGACACAGGGAAGACTGGCAACCCAGGTTCGTACTTCAGCTTTCCCCTTTCTAGGAGGAGGACAGGGGTGTTAGCCTTTCTCCAGTGTTACAGGTGCTTGCCCGTGTTGACGTGGCCGGTAACCGCCCTCCCGGGGTCTCTCCCCCCTTGTACTAATAAGCTGCTTTAGGGAGAGTCACATCTGAGGTCTGCTCTCTCCATGGGGACATGTCTGCTTCTCTCCCGCCCAGATGTCAACAGCTGGCTGCTCACCTTTGGATTCCAGCTGCACAACGTCATCCCAGGCTACCCCAAGCCGGACCTGGATGCCGCGGAGCCGTCCTACGAGCTGGTCCACACGCACATGAAAACGCAGGAGTGGGACAACAGCAAGGTGAGACCGCAGGTGGGACTGTCAGACCGCCTGGAGCAGCTCCCATGAGCTTTCCAGGAAAGCTTGGGCTGATCCTGGAAATTAGGGGGGCCCCTGCACTGTGCCTGCCAGAGAACATCCAACAAATTTTCAGTCACCCCACCACTGTTCATGTTCACTGTCAGCAGCACACAGACCCCCCACAAGCTACGTTAAAGATTGCCATACGTTACAGTGGGTTTGGTGTTTGATGGCTTTTGCCATCATCCGGGACAAAAGTCCAAAGAAAGAAGGTGTGTTCTAAATACAAATGTGACCTTTTCTGAACACCTTCAAGGAGCCCTGGTGGCGTCGTGGTTACAAGTTAGGCTGCTAACTGCCAGGTTGGCAATTCGAAACCACCAGCTGCTCCGAGGGAGAAAGACGAGGCTTTCTACTGCCATAAAGTGTTACAGTCTCACTCACGGGCGGCTCTGCCCATCCTCGAGGGGTGCAGCGAGTTCCGTTCAACTCGATGGCAGTGAGTTTGTGCGTTTAAGTGGACCTCATCTCGTGTGTTACCCACAAATGCCCCATGGTGTCCCTGGTCGCACTGTGCAGAGTGAATGCCCAAGGCTGCCCCGTGCCCCGCAGCAGGAATGAGTACAGCTGAGATTTAAACTCTGATCGCTCGGTGCTCACTCACCTCACTGAGTGTGGTGCCTGACATGCTACGGGTTCAGTAAACATGACTTTCTTTTCTATTCCTTCTATGGGCCGATTTCAAAGACTAGCTGGAGAGGTCCTTAAACACAATCTTATGCCACCTGATTACATTAAACATGGCCTTTGGGGCCCCCCCCCCCTGCATTCATGGATTCTTTATCAAGCACCACCCTGCTCCCAGAGGGTGCAGGGTGAATGTGGAAGAGACCAGGAGATCCCCGTCCAGAGGTCACCGCACCCAAGAGAAGCAGAGCTCTTGGGTTGGGATAGGCAGGTTATTGGTGCATTGGGAACTATCCATGCTACCCTCGTCACCCCAACTCTTCTAGACCTCCGCTTAGCTCACCCCTTGCCCTGGACGCCGGAGGATGTGATTCTGCACCCCCTTGCTCAGCTGGCCCCTTGTCGTTTCCTCCTTTGAAGCATGTATTGCAGCAGACTTGAGTCCCTGATTGCTTTCCAGTGTCTCCCTTAGACTGTGAGCTCCAACTGGGCAAGTGCTGGCTCTTTATTGGGTGCCGAGTGTACAGCCTAGTGATGTCTCAACTCAGCTCACTGCCATCAAGTTGATTCCAACTCACAGCGGCCCTATAGGACATGGTAGGACTGACCCTGGGGGTTTCCAAGACTGTTACTCTTTACAGGTGTGGAAAGCCTCGTCTCTTCCCAAGGAGTGGCTGGCAGGTTCAAACTGCTAACCTTGCGGTGGGCAGCTCAACACATAGCCCACTACGCCACCAGGGCTCATACAGTACACGCCTGGAAACATTGTTTTTAACAACTAGATGGTTGAAGGAAGTGATGAGACAGCCCTCTGGCAGGTATTTGCTCCCATTTTACAGAAGAGACCAGGAGCCCAAGACCTTGCTGAAGGTCACTAGACTAGAAAGTGGCAGAAGGTGATGGGAACCTAAGTCTGACGTGCTGCCAAGCCCAGCCTCTTCCTGCTGCCCTAGCCCACCCCCTCTGCCTACCCAATGGCCGCTAGTCCCACCCCCGCCCTGCCCCATGCTCTGCCCCAGCTGCCTTTGCTGTCCTGGGGCTGGTTCAACAGCCGTGCTCCTCCCCCTGCAGCTTCCCCCACCCCCACCTCGGCGCCCCAGCCTGCCTGTTTTGCCAGCCTCGCCTGTCAATGAGTTATTGATTTCTGCCCTTGGCAAGCATTGGAGATCTTTGTTGTTGAGCACTCTTGCTTTCGTGAAACTCTAGGAAATAATTGTTCACAGACAGGGTTCTATTAATTATAAAGAGGACTTAATTTCGGGAGAAACCGATGGTTCTGTTTCTAAAGCCATTTCTCTGAGCTGCTGCTAAGGCCTCGGAGCCTTCCTGAGCACAGCTTCTCCCCAGCTCCCCGCTTCAGACAGACGTGCAGCAGGCACTCCAGGCTAGCTGGATGCATCCAGCTGGTCCCCAAGGGCACCCATGAGCAGGGGACACTGCGGGGCAGAGGTCCTCCTGGAGAATCGTTTCGGAATACCATGGAGTGCACTTGTCATCTTGCTGTGCCTCCTCACCCAAAATGCACAGCTTGTCCTCCCCCATCTAACATCACCAAGTCCCAGCTTCAGCATGAACTTGGCCCTGAGCCCCACTTCTCCACCGTCAGACTACAATCTCCTGAGCCTCATCTGCGCCTCTCTGCTCCAACAGCCTGAGGCCGAGCCTCTGCGTCAGAGAGAACTGTGTTCAATGGTTGACTTGAACGACTTACCAGCTATACTGGAGGGAGGTGCCCTGGTGGTACAGTGAGATGTTCCCTGCACTGCTTAACCACAAAGTCAGCAGTTCGAACACACTAGCCACTCCTTGGGAAAGATGGGGGTTTCTAGTCCCATAAAGATTTACAGTTTCAGAAACACACAAGGCCAGTTATAGGGTTGCTATGAGTCAGAATTGAGTTTGGTTTGGTGTATACCAGAGGGAGGACCCTGCTGGGTACCGGGTTATGCACAAGATCAGCAGTTCAAACTCACCAGTCACCCCTCGGTGGGGAAAGATGAGATTTTCTGCTCCAGTAAAGATGGACAGCCTTGGACACACAAGGGACGATTCAACGCTGTCCAGTGGGGTCACTGTGGGTCAGAATTGAGTTTGCTTTTGAGTGTACGAGGGGAGCTTCAGTAAGTCCAGAGAGAACATCCCGAGCTTTTCGTTGTATCTGTCCACAAGCTTTTGGAAGCTTGCTCGTGTGATCGTGGGCCAGGGCAGCCCAACCACAGGAAACGACCGAAGAGCCCATCGGAGAACAGGTGTTAAGGCTTTAGCTCAAAGATCAAGAGACATCAGCCATCGCTATCAGTCCCTCTCTCAGCCCACCAGTTGTCACCCTGGTTGGAATCATTGGTTGTCGTGGGTACCTCTCCCCAGTAAGGCGGTGAGCAACTCAAGGGCAGGAACAGCATCCGATTCATTGTGGGGGCTTCGGTGCTCAGAACACGACCTGGCACAGAATAGGTGTTCCTTGAACAGTGTCTGAACCCCCACCCCCTGCCACCGCAACCCGAGAGGGCAGGGGAGAACCACTCCCCAGGGTTTCCAAGACTGTAAAGCAGGGGTGAAGAACATCCAGCCACAGGCCGTACATGGCCTGAGAAACCATCTATGCCAGCTCATGCCACACGCCTCGCCAAAGGCAAGTAGTTCCAGGCCTCGCCTTAGGGGTGAGTTCTTTTGGCATTTGACCAGTATGGCCC